TGCTACAACTGAAATAAAATCCGTGAGGTGAAATAAGAAGCAAGTGCTTCTTTATTATTTTTTTCTAAGTACAATTAGACTACCTATTACACCAGAGTAAAATCAGTAGAATCATAGACGAATTTTTACTTACAGATGCGGAGCATAATGTTGATGAAAACAAACGGGCACTTTATCTCCCTAGGTAACGTGATTTCAATGCACATTTACTATCTAACTAACTACATGCTACTAATCTAATTTAGGCTTTTCTTTTTGTTAAAGCATTTTAGCCATCTTATCTTACTGTTTTACTTGTTTAATCTGAAAAGTCAATCGAACAGTTCATACTGATTCAATATAATTTTTTTGACATTTTCATGAAGATAAAATAAAAAGGGATTGAAAGAAGTACATTTTTCTTGGAAAGTTCAGGATGCCGTAAGCAAACAAAAGAAAAAAAGATATGTAATCGAGAAAGAAAAGAAATAATCAAGCAAGCGAATAAACGGCAAAATACTGCACTGGTAATTGTGTCACTATAAATACGCTTTATTCCATACACTAAAACTAATTAAAGTGATTAGCAAACAAACCAAAAATCTAACTATTGTGCTTTCAGTTCCCTTCCCCTCAGCAAGGTCAAACATGCCAAGAAAGTCTTGGTAAAGACACCCCATAGGAAAGTCACTGTGGAATTTTCTGGGTACTTTGGTCGACGTAACAGCGTCGGGGTGCGGAAGAGAGACATTCTGTTCGTGATCAAACACGTGATCGAAGAAGGGGCGCTGAAAGGGATAAAACACGTCACAAGATCTGACTTTGAGAAGGCTGCCAAAGTACTTCGTAAAAGAGCAGTCTTTGGCGACGCTGTGTATAAATATGTTGTTAGCATTGTCAGATAGGCCTATTTTGTTGACTGAGTGCAATACATGTACCTGAGGTGTGTTGCAGGCATATCGGCATATTCACGTCAATGTGTAAGCCCGCACTGCCATCGGAAACTTAATACAATAAATACCTTAAAAAATCTATGTCAGCACTCAATTCTTTATTACCCGTAATAATCGACCTCATGTTGTTTGCATCCAAATAATGTTTATCGCATTAACAACATAGGCCTACATATTTGACTGCAGGCTTGACTTTTGAGTACTGAAAAAAAAAAAAAAAAAAAAACTGAATAAAAACACTTCACTTCGACCATTATTAACCAGAGGCACTTAGGGAAGAACTATTTTAGGAATTAAAACAAATGACAGGTGTTAAAACTGTGCCATACATGTATGCACAGATCCTAACGCACTGACGTATCCAGTATTTTGTGTAGGGACCGTGTGTGTGGGGGGGGGGGGGGGGGGGGGGGCGCATGGTTCCCCCCCCCCCTTATTCCGCCAAGGTATCGTCCAAACATGTGTTAAATATGGTGTAAGTCTAGTTTATTGACTTATAAAAATACATAGGAATAAAAGAAAACCCTATTTCTTTGGCAGATATATGATCTTTTCTACAGTAAACCGCTTACAACCACACATTGCGTTTGTTGAGACAGTTGCGTCGTACATCAACAGCAATAAAACGGGAATTCCCCCCAAAAAACCCTCGTCACCTCTATTAATAATACCTGTAGCCGAGTCGCCATTGTGCAGGTCGTTTCCAGCTGGTAAGTTAACGTGATATTTTATCAAATTTTGAGGTGTGATGTCAACCACATCAGTGTCAACGGGTGACCTACAACTAGTCGTAACTAAGATGTAATAGGGTTGTTGACATTTCATTAAAAAACTGCGAATGACAACATGTAAATTGCAGTGTTTACGCGTAAAGAGCGAGCTGGGAAGGTTGACGTTTCGGTTTCGGTTTGTACCTGAATGTGTTGTTCCGCAAAAAAGAAAAAAAAAAAAAATCCAGTTTTAAATAATTTAAATGATTATTTGCACTGATAAGAATGATATGTACGTGTGTGTGTGTGTGTGTGTGTGTGTGTGTGTGTGTGTGTGAGTGCATGCGCGTTTGTGTATTCTCTCCCCCCCCCCCCTCTTCTCATTGTAAAGTCCTGTAAACGCTAGCGCTAAGGTGTATAGCTATAAGGTCACAAATGATTGATTCAAACTTAGAGCGGATTACACAATTGACGAAATGAAAAGACAAAGGGATGTTTTGTATATTTACATAAAGTCAGCTTGATCGGGCTATTCTTCAAAATGTTTTGCTTTCTTCAAGATAGAATATATGTTTTACTTTGAATCGCTTGGCAAACACAGCAGACGAAGTAACTTTTATCATTATATATATACAGTAGGTCAAAGAAATAGAATAGAGTTTCATTGTTATACTCTATTTATATCGCTCGTTATAATAAATGTTCCTTTAGGGAAGTAGAAGCGGTAAAAGGGTGTTCATACAAGTTGTACCCCAGTAGGTGAAATATGTACATGTAGCTAGGTCACATGCATATGTAACCCGCTGTGCGCCCCCCCCCCCCACCCCCACCCTTTCAACTGCGTACGCCATTGTATCGTTATGCTGAATAAAGTCGCGCGACAAGGTTATTTTCAGTTGCACCCTGGATTACGCACGCTTGCTCCGCAAGGTGTCGCCTGTGGTGGGGGGGCAACACAGCCCATATGGTTACTGTGGCGAAGGTGACAGGTACTTCCAAACATTNAATAAGGTCGCGCGACAAGGTTATTTTCAGTTGCACCCTGGATTACGCACGCTTGCTCCGCAAGGTGTCGCCTGTGGTGGGGGGGCAACACAGCCCATATGGTTACTGTGGCGAAGGTGACAGGTACTTCCAAACATTTTTTCATAACTGTCATTTTTCCTCATTCTATTCACGAATTTGATATTTACGGCAATGGAAAATGTGGCACCGGCAAAAGTGAATATACAATGTAGGTGCGTTGACAGGCCACACAGGTGTCCCCAATTAACCGCCGCCAGAGAAGAGACCCCAAGCATTAAACAACACAACCTGTAGGTATTGGAAATTTGGCAAAAGTTAAGCAACTGAGGCTTTATTATAATAGATTTGGACAGAAATCGAAGGGAATGTACAGTGACATGCCAAACCCCTAAGTTCAAGTCTTGGCTCTTGACACCAGTAACGCACCCTCAAGAATCTGAACAAATCAATGTTGGGCAGGTACATATATGCTCTATTTTCTACAGGCCTTTTGTGATTTTATCAACTTGATTGTCAAGTGCCAGACCTTTTGTTTCCCACCCAGACTGTGTATAACGATTTGCACCCGTCTCAATCGGATTTATCTCTGTCACATACATGATATTGTTTGATTAACCAAAAACTTATTGCGCTTGTTGATACAAACACATCAGCAGCAATCAATTAAAGGGAATTCACTTTAAAAAAAACCCGCTTGTCACCTCTAATTATAGAAAGCCGCCATTTGTACGGTCTGTTTCCAACTAGTAAGTTAACCTGATATTTTGTTAAAATGTGACTTATCTACCAAATAGATTAAAACGAGTGACATAAACCTCGTTGCCACAGGGGTGACGAATTGCTGTTAATATTTTGGTACAATGTTCCTTCCTCCGTCATGACTAAATTGATGGAATTGTTTGTTAGTAAGGATCACCGTGGGTAATTACTTTTTCTTTAGACCTGACTGCGTTCTACGTGACGATTTCCAAAATCCCCAAGTGTAAGGGATCATTTGAAAAGAATTATTTAACGATAACACTAATAGGACCCTTAATAGCGACATTTAAGCTGCATACTGCAGAACACTTCTTCGGTGGTGTGCGTGTGTGTGTGTGTGTGTGTGTGGGGGGGGGGGGGATTCACGCCAGATAGGAGCGGGATTGAGACCACAGATGGATGTGATAATGTAAAAGCAATTGTATATTTTTGTATATTTTATGTTACGGTGGCGTCTCTGTGCCAAGCTGCTTCTTTTCTTTTATCATTCGTGGGTCTTTACATATTAGGTAAGTTCATGTTGTACATTTAATTTTTTTTATATATTTCAACTTATGATGCTTATTCATATTATTTCAGACGAGTGAAATTTAGACATACGTCGTCCTCTTCGTTGGAAAGTGTACAGTATAGCCACCAGCCAGTATGGATGACCTTTACTGGGTTGCAGAGACTGGAGATACAGAGAGGTTACAGTATCTGCTGACTGCCAGGCAGTGCGATATTAATGTCCAGGACTGGGTGACAACTTTGATTTCTCTCTCATTACTTACGCCGTTGTCGATATTTTTAATGGAATTTATCGCGATACACGTTAGAAATAACGATTTATTTAATGCAGACGACCCATGTCATATCCACTGCATCATTTCACTTTCCCTTCCTTCTCACTACTACACGAGGTTTTCTATGTAATAGGCTAGGCATATACCAATGTAAACGATATAATAAGTTCAACAAGAAGCCCATACATGTAACTGCTTTTTTATACATTTACAACGTGCACATATAAAATAAACGATCTGCTTTGGCGTTGGCACGTTTCTATAATATTTCGTTTCCATACAAACCACTATGGCACAGTGTTATAACAATTCACAGCGTTGTACATACCCGTATCAACTAAGGTTTATCCATTGTATCACTGGGCTGTTAATGCAGCCCCTATACAGAAGCTAAACAAATTACACGGCACCCATCAATATATTTTTTTCAGTTAAGCCATATCATCAAAACCCGATACTTTTTTCCGCGACACTTAAAAAATATGCGTTTAATCACACTGTTTGCACATATCCACAGTTGAAGAGGACACCACTTCTCTGGGCTGCAGTTAAGGGCCACATACAATGTGCCCAGCTTCTCCTCCAACACGGGGCGGATACCAGTATACAGGATGTGGTGAGTGTAGAATTGTCAGAACACAGCAGTATGGCTACATTTACGTACATCGCCACTTTTCCTTAAGTTGTGAGGAGAAACATTATTGTGGTTTACATTCTCTTGAACAAGTCTTTTCTCATTTATGAATAATCCAACATAAAGCACATCTTTAAATAGAACACGGCATAAGTGCAATTAGTTAAGTATAATTATGTTTGAAGCGTGATGTTAAATATAGAAGTACAAACAAAGTCATTTTATTAAATGTCCATTATTTCTTTCAATATTTTACATAGAATTGACACATTGAAGTGATGATTTTATTAATCCACTGCATCACTGAGCTGGTAATACAGGCCCAATACAGAGGCCAAATTTAATATTAACACAGCACATTAATACATTTTTTCAGTTAAGCCATATCATCAAAACCCGATACTTTTTTCTACTGCACTTGAAATATATATGTGTTTAATCACATAGTTTGTACATAACCACAGTGTGGGAGGACACCACTTCACTGGGCTGCATATCAAGGCCATACACAATGTGTCCAGCTTCTCCTCCAACACGGGGCGGATACCAGTATACAGGATGATGTGAGTGTAGAATAGTCAGAACACAGCAGTATGGCTACATGAACATATATCGCCATTTTTCCTTAAGTTGTGAAAAGAAACATTCTTGTGGTTTACATTCTCTTGACCAAGTCTTTTCTCATTTATAAATAAATTAACATAAAGCACATTGTAAAATTTTACACGGCATAATGTTTCCAGTAGTGCAGTTCGTCAAGTATAATTACATTTGAAGTGTGATGTTAAATATAGAAGTACAAACAAACTTTGATTAAATGTCCATGATTTCTTTCAATATTTTACATAGAATTGACACATTGAAGTGATGATTTTATTAATCCACTGCATCACTGAGCTGGTAATACAGGCCCAATACAGAGGTCAAATTTAATATTAACACAGCACCGTTCATTTTTTTCAGTTAAGATTAGTCATCAAACCCAATACATTTTTCTATTGTTCTTGAAATATATGTTTTTAATCACATTGTTCGTACATATCCACAGGGTGAGAGTACACCTCTTAACTGGGCTGCATATCGAGGCCACACACAATGTGTCCAGCTTCTCATCCAACACGGGGCGGATACCAGTATACAGGATAAGGTGAGTGTAGAATAGTCAGAACACAGCAGTATGGCTACATTTATGTACATCGCCATTTTTCCTTAAGTGGTGAAAAGAAACATTATTGTGGTTTACATTCTCTTGCCCAAGTCTTTTCTCATTTATGAATAAATTAAAATAAAGCATATTGTAAAATAGTACACGGCATAATGTTTTCAGTAGTGCAGTTAGTTAAGTATAATTACATTTGAAGTGTCATGTTAAATATAGAAGTACAAACAAAGTTATTTGATTAAATATCCATTATTTATTTCAATATTTTACATAGAATCGACTAATTGAAGTGATGATTTATCAATCCACTGCATCATTAAGCTGTTAATGCAGGCCCAATACAAAGGCCAAATTTAATATTAACACAGCACCGATCATTTTTTTTTCAGTTAAGCTTTGTCATCAAACCCAATACAATGTTCTACGATACTTGAAATATATGTGTTTAATCACACTGTTTGTACATATCCACAGTGGAAGATGACACCACTTCACAATGCTGCAGGTCACGGGGACACACAATGTACCCAGCTTTTCCTCCAACAAGGGGCAGATACCAATACAGAGGATGAGGTAAGTGTAGAATTGCCAGAACACAGCAGTATGGCTACATTTACGTGCATAGTCATTTTTCCTTTAGTTGTGAGAAGAAACATTGTGGTTTACATTCTCTCGGCCAATGCTTTTTTCTCATTTATGAATAAATCAACATAAAGCACATTGTAAACTACATGTAGTATACGGCATAATAAAGTTGTGCAATCAGTAAAGTATAATTACGTTTGAAGCGTGATGTTAAATATAGAAGTACCGGTACAAACCAAGTTATTTCATGAAATATCCATTATTTATTTCAATATTTTACATAGAATTGACAACTTGAAATGATGGTTTTATTAATCCACTGCATCACTGAGCTGTTAATACAGGCCCAATACAGAGGCCAAATTTATCATTAACACAGCACCGATCTTTTTTTTTCAGTTTAGCCTTGTCATCAAACCCAATACATTATTCTACAGCACTTGAAATGTATATGTGTTTAATCACAATGTTTGTACATATCTACAGGCTGGGAGGACACCACTTCACTGGGCTGCAGATTACGGCCACAAACAATGTGTCCAGCTTCTCCTCCAACACGGGGCGGATACCAGTATACAGGATGTGGTGAGTGTAGAATTGCCGGAAAACAGCAGTATGGTCATATTTACGTACATCGTCATTTTTTCATGAACGAATAAATCAACATAAAGCACATTGTAAAATAAAACACGGCATAATGTTTTCAGTACTGCAGTGATAATTGCTTAACCAGGCGACCAGGGGATTAAGCTAGTCAATATATTCCTTGAACAATCGTTTAGCCACCCTATCATTATCACACTCCCTCTATTGTATTTTCTGTCGTTATTATAAGGGTCTAATCTTCATATGATAGACGGAGAAAATATACACAAAAATAATACTAGGACTGTACGTTTGAAGAGTGGATATGTTAAATACGGAAGTACAATCAAAATTATTTACTTAAATATCCCTTATGTATGTCAACATTTTACAAAGAATTTTTATTTTGAAATGATAATATTATTAATCCACTGTAGCAATGGGCTAGCTTTTAAATATAATGTACCTTTACATAAGCGGAGGTCTGGGAAACGCTTTTCACTGGCCTGCTTCACCCCCGCCCCCTATAGCTCGTAATCGCTTTTTTACATATATCGCAGGATAACAAAACACCAAGAATGTTGGCAGAAGAAAAAGAGCGCCATGTTATAGTACAACTGCTGAGGCGTTTTGAAATACATGATATAAAGGTATATGTGCCTGTGTGGAAGTTTTTAACGCATACTAGGTTATGATGCATTGGGCTTATTAAAATAGAATAAAATCTTTTTATGTACAGACACAGATGTGTCTGTACATATAGCCATCATCTGCGTCTGTTGTCGTCGCCGTCGTCGCCGTCGGTGCCGTCGTCGCCGTCGTGCACTTTTACCGATAACAAGATAAGTGGAAAACTGTTTTTCCTTTTGGCTTGAAACTATTCATAATACGCAGGTCAAGTTCGAAAATCAGCATGATCGGGCCATTTTTAGGGAAGTTATGCTGTATTTTCACTTTTTTCAGCATAAAAGCAGCACCGATAACACGATAAGTGGAAAACCATTTTACTTTTTTGATTGAAACTTACAAAACTGATGAATATTCTTAATACGCAGGTCAAGTTAGAAAATCAGCATGATCGGGTCATTTTTAGGGAAGTTACGCTGTTTTTTCACTTTTTTCAACATATATGCACCACTGATAACACAATATAAGAAAAACAGATAAGCCAATTGTCATTTTACTCCCAGGAGTAGTCAATCTTACTAAAACACAGGTTGAGTTCGAAAATCAGCATAATCGGGCCTTTATTTTAGAAGTAATGCTGTTTTTTCACATTTCCTCAGATTCAATTCTTAGGCATGTTAACAGTCTCATTATTTAACTAATAAGATACATAAATGTGTTTGTTTGATATTTCCTGCATCTTTACAACATTGTTAGTTGATTATGTAAAAATGATGGTAAACTTGTTATCGTGTATTGTGTAATAAAGTGTCAAAAATGAAATAAACTCATATCATTGCAGTTTGTCAGATTCAATCATCCACTATGTTCAGAATCTCAGAATGGAGGGAATTGGACATTTAACACTGTTCTATTGATATTTTCCCCATCTCATCAATTTTTTTAGTTGGTCATATAAAAATGGCAGTAAAATGTTAATTTTGTTTTATGTTTAAAAAGTGTTAAAAATGGAAATAAACCCATTTCAAAACAGTGCTGTCTTGTTTACATTTTGGCATTTTTAAGACGTGACTTTGAAGTTCCATGAGCCTGCAGACCTTTGCTAGTCACATTTTCTGAATGTTCATGTTACTAATATTCTATTATTAAAAATTGATGGTCATGCTGTTAAACATTATGTAATATTGCATCAAAATTTAAAGAAACCCCTATTTTGGGCACTGCTCCCATGATGACCATTTAATAAAAATCATGTCAATTACTGTTTTCAAACTTACAGGAAAGAAACATGGGTCTAAAATACAGCTTCAGTAGGCAAAAATTTATGGTCATTATGCTGTTAAGCATTATGTCATGTTGAATCAAAATAGAAGAAAACACAATTTTTGGTGCTTCTGCCATGATGACCATTATGGGAAAACTGTGTGACTTATGACTGTCAAACCTTTAAAAAAGAAACACTGGGCTAAAATGCAGAATGAGTTGGAAAAGCAGTCTAATTGGCTTCTTTTTCTGGAAGTTATACATTTGAGTGAAATATTCATTATCTTTTTGGCATATTCATTGTGGGACTCGGAGCTCCCATGGACATGAAGCTGAATGGTAATCAAATTTTCTACATGTACATGCTATTTATAGTCAATAATCAAAAATTGGTAATAATTATTCTATAATTTATTATGTAATGTTACATCAAAATTGACAATATTCTGTTTGCACTGCTACTGCAAACATTCTGAAAAGAAAACTGAGTTACTTACTATTATTTTTAACTTACAAGTATGATTTTTAGGATTGGCATGCATTTCAAATTAGAAAGCCAGGTCGTTATCATTTATTATTGAATTTATGCAATTTTGTGTGAAATTTTCATTTTTCTCATTCTGGCACTTTCTAAGTAAAAACTTGAACTTTGATGGGCCTGAAGCCTTATGCTTTTACTTTCGTTGGTGTTACCTGTTGTGCATAATTTAAATTTGATGTTGACTGTGCAGTAAAACATAATGTACAGGTATTATTGCATCAGAATTGGTAGTCTCCTATTTTGTGCATTATTGTTTTGTGCTTTTCTTAAGATGTGACTTATGGGCCTGAAAGACTTTTGAGAGGTTCAGTCTGTTAATATCCCTTGGGTATCACTTAGCTAAAGTCTGAGTTATAAAATCATTTGCCTAATTGATAGGCCATTAAATTTGCCTAAGTGATAGGCCATTAAACTCCCAAAAGTTAAGCTCTCTGCTAGATTAATAATAGGGAAGCAGTGACAATTATGCAGGTTATTAAATATATATATATATATATATATATATATATATATATATATATATATATATATAATGGAAGATTAAAAGTTTGAATAGCAGCTTCATTGGAATTATATTTACCTCAGGCTCTGCCAAGGAGGTTATATTTTCACCCCTGTCTGTCTGTCATCAACATAACTCAAAAAGTTATGGCTGATTTTGCTGAAATTTTCAGGAACTGTCAGAATTGGGCCAAAGATGACAATGATTAGTTTTTGGTGGTGGTCTTTCTCAATAATCAATCAATAATCAATAATAATCAACAATTGCTGCCTTGGCAGAGGTCTGCACTCTCGGTGGTTTTCTAGTTTTGTTATGTTTTCCTTCATAATTTTTTCTCAAACACTTGCATTTGTGACTTTTAACTCTCATCTGCTCAAGGCTCTGCACATTTTCTGTATTTTTACATAAGCAATTGTATTGTTTTTTATGTCTTTAAACATTATGTTATATAATTTTATGCACTGTCATCATTTTTCAAATATTGAGACTTTCATCATGTGACTTTGGTCTCTCATGGTCTTGAAACTGTAATCTTATTGAAGGGGTGGATTGAGACCATCTTCTGGGTCTTCCGGAAGACAGTCAGGTTATTAAGTTTATATTGACTGGTATCTATTTTTTTCTGTTGGAAGACCATCAAAATGGAGGATGGATCAACATAGATACTTTGGAATACTGTCAGAAAATATCTCAGGGTCCACCCCTGTTATTGACCATGTTACCTGTTGTGCATGATTAAAATTCAGTGTTGACTGACAGTACTATTATATATATATATATAACCATTCTTATGTACAGACACAGATGTATCTGTACATATAGCCATCATCTGCGTCTGTCGTCGCCGTCGTCGCCGTCGGCGCCGTCGTCGCCGTCGTCGCCGTCACTGTGCACTTTTACCGATAACACGATAAATGGAAAACCATTTTACCTTTTGACTTGAAACTTGCAGAACTGATGAATATTCATAATACGCAGGTCAAGTTCGAAAATCAGCATGATCGGGTCACTTTTAGGGAATTTATGCTGTTTTTTTTCACTTTTTTCAGCATATATGCAGCACCGATAACACGATAAGTGGAAAACCATTTTACCTTTTGACTTGAAACTTACAGAACTGATGAATATTCATAATACGCAGGTCAAGTTCGAAAATCAGCATGATCGGGTCACTTTTAGGTAATTTATGCTGTTTTTTCACTATTTTCAATATAAATGCAACGCTGATAACACAATATAAGAAAAACGGATTGGCCAATTGTAATTATACTCACAGGGGTGGTCCATCTTACTAAAATGCAGGTTGAATTCGAAAATCAGCATAATCGGGCCATTATTTTAGAAGTTATAGTTTTTTTCACATTTCCTCAGATTCAATTATTAGGCATGTTAACAGTCTCATTATTTAACTAATAAGATGCCTAAAAGTGTTTGTTTGATATTTCCTGCATCTTTACAACATT